ATTCTCTTTGTGCTAAAATTTCCCTTAATCTAACTCTCTCTCTAAAGATGAATATGCTTTGGGAGAGTGGTGGTAAAATTTGAAGACTATCGAGATAAAAATGTTAATGTAAACACGTACAAAAAAAAGGGGGGGGGGGGGAAGCTAATAAGGAGAAGAAATCAGAAGGGGAAAAAAAAGAAACTACATTTCTGCAGATATTTCCAATCACAGTTCTTAGAAACATAAAAATTAGAAATAGTTGAAACAATTCTTCACACTTGTCTTGTTTTGAGGATTTATAAGTTATCTCTCTTTGTCTTTTTAGAAGGAATTGGCTCAAAGGTTTAAAATTGTAGAACATTTTCACATTTGACATCTTTGAAAACAGGATGCTTTGCACCTACCTCGTAGTAATTGCTACAAACTTTTCTGGTCTGAGTTTTATCATTTTGTGAGAGCTAGAAATATAAGCAGGAAGAGTTTTAAAGGCTTTAGGTACGTGTCCCTATATAACTGTGCATGTCTTGCAGGGTCTGACAGAGGTAGAAACCAAAGTCTTTTAACTTACAGCACAGCCTGAGACCATTTCCCTTCTCAAATGAAATGCAGAAAAACAAAATTTCCTGAAAAATTAAATCTGGGTGGAAAAGTGCAAAGAAATGGGACTCATTCACTGTTGTGTTTCCCTACACAGCTAAAGTTTATCTTTTGTATTCCACATTTTTAATGTCTTACAAGTTGAAACAAACTTATTTTGCAGTGGAATATGGTCCCCATGCTGACATAGAATTTTCTTTTCAGTTAAGTAGTAGTTAAGTAGTATTTTTCAGTGTAAAAGCATTAATTTGGGAACCATCCAGCCAGTAAGACTGGTTGTTTGTGTATGGGGGTAGCTATGTTATGCTCGCAGTGTGCAGCCATAGGGTGTGAGTCCTGCTCAGATGCAAGGTACGTAGCCTGCTTTAGAAAAGTTCCTTCACAGCAATACTCAGTTTTAAGATGTGCCATGTCCACACATTAATATCACAGAAACTACCCCCAGCTTGGCTAAAACTCAAAACCAAGAGCTAAAACTCCAGGGCCCACGCACAAAGTGCCTCAAAGTGGACTCAAATCCTCAAAGTGTATTTTCCCCATGTTCAGTTTTGCTTTTAAGTGACATGGGATTAGGCAAATACCAACTTGTCATTCCACTTCTCATGGTTTGCAGGTAGCCCAGCTCTGCCAATGCAGAACCAGTGTTTTCAACAATAATCTGGGCTCTTAATTATTTTACGTCATGTGAAAAGTCTTAGAATCAATTTAATCTCATGTACTTTGAGAACAGAAGCGAGAAGATTTGTTAACAGCTTGCTGCAGAACAGGGAGGGGTAGTGGATGGGGAACTTCTTCCATCTGGCCACAAGTGCTAAAATACAAGGTTTGGACGCTAATATGCAGGGCTTAAAGTTAATTTGCAAGCGCTGAGAAGTACATCCAAGGACACTGAGAGGTGTAAGGAGGAAGGCTGCGGAGGCTTTCATGAAAGCTGACTTTGTGTTAGGTCAGCTGTCTTCAGGATGACAGGTTTCAGGAGAGGCCAAGGAACAGCCAAAATGTTTATGATTTCCTCTGGCAATCTGCAAGAGCAGTTTATATTACATGCAAATAACAAAGGTTAATGAAATGGAAAAGTTGAGAAATCAAATGCTCAGAAATTAGGAAACGCTGAATTAAGAATGTAAATTTAACCACAAAGCCACATTGTCCTCTTTATTCCTTATGAGACTTTCATATCATATCTTTTTAGATGCCCAAGTAACAAAGCTAATGTTTTTCCAACTACTTAAATGCTAACAAGATTTTTTACTGTGTATCTGGTGAGAAACATAGAAAAATCTTGATATATGTGTTTTTACAATAGATTTATGCCTTTTTTCTACTCATTCTTCCTGTATTGAAAAGAGGTTGATTAAAGCTGTAACAAAATATTGCTTCTGAAAAAAAAATTAAAAACTCTGGTGTGAAGCAACCATGGCATCTCTTGAAAAGATACCAGTCCTGATTTGAAGACTATGCAAAGCACATGCCAAATTCTACTTCACTAATGTGGTAACAGTTTATACCTGCTTTGGATGGATGTAAATGGCTATATCACAGAGAAATGGCTCTGCAATATATCTAGCACAACATTACTCAAACGACAGTGTTGCAGAAGCTCCTTCAGCTCACCCGTGCATTGCTTCCCCTCACTCCCCCCTGCAGGTCCCAGCTCTCCCACTTCTCAGCCTCTCCCTAGTTCATCTACAAGCAAGCACTGTTGCTGCTTTTGGGTTGGTTTTCAGTGAATCACCCACAGCCATCTGATGACCGGAGTTAACTTGAAGGAGGTGGCCGGGTCATACGGCCAAGTTCAAGCAGAGGGCACAGCTCCCCTTTTTGGCAGCTCCTCAGCCAGCTGCACAATTTCCCCTTTTGTTTCTTCTGGTTGCAGTCAAACCTGGGGGCACCAACCAAGGCCACTGCCCCACCATTCATGTATGTGGAGATGGGAGGTCAGAAAGTGTCACAGACCAACTCAAGGTTGTGTTGGAGCTGAGGAGCACAGGGAGGATCTCCTGGCTCTCTGTCCTGCACCGTACGAGGAAAACCAGCAGTTGCCAAACTTTTATATAGTCCTGCAACTAGAAATGGGTCTACCCAATGCAAGTCACTTCCAGACAACTTAGGAGAGGATTCAGGTCCCTTGGAGAAGGTTCTAGGAAAAGTATGGGAGCAGGCTGCTGGGGAAGGGGGCAGCAAAGGGGTCTGGGTGTGTTGTTCTAGGGAAGGGACTGAAACCATTCAGTGGGCCATCAAGCAATGTGATGAAGCAAGCGGGCCACTTGGGAGGGCCCACCAACCCCTGGCTGTGTCCCGGCAGCAAGCCCCCACACCATGTCTCGAGCAGGGGCCAAGGCAGAGCAGCTCCATGGTCCTGGGGCCACCCTGGGCTTTGATGCTTCTGCAGCCACACGCAGAGCAGTGGCTCCCGTGGTTTCCAGAACATGGATCAGCATTGGTGCTGAGCTGCTTCAGAAGCGATAAAGCAGGTCAGGGTACAGGCTGGGCCTGCGTTAATTCTGCTCCTGCTAACCCAAGATCTGGAAGAGCCGGGAACTATGGTGCACAGACACAGGAGCCTCCTGGAGTAGGACCAGCTGAAGGCTGGAGGATGTCCAGCTGCCTCGGCCCAGAGGTGATAAAACCAGCTGAGAGCCTTCGCAAGAGCATGACAGCCTCAGGCACATATAATCAGGGTAGGTCTAGGCCTGAGCTTGTCAGGCCATGCTGCAAGGGGCAAACTCAGATGTCACCAACCCGATTTCATGGAATTGTCCTCCCTGGGGGGTCTCCTGTCTCCTCATTCAAGGGGACGTCTTTCTGCAAGGCACATCATGTCCAGCACATCCCAGCAAGATTTAGCTGCTGATGGGGTGTTTCTATTGCTTCATTTTGTTTTGTTAATTAAAACATGGATTATTGAAAAAAAAAAAAAAAGCACGGATTTTTTTTATTATTATTATTTTATTGTACTGTTCTTTCTCATGGAGCAACCTCCAGAGAAATAAAAGAGATTGCAAAAAGAGAGGAACAATATCCATGCAGAGGCTGTGGGTTCTTGCAAATTAAGTTGTAAGGAGGAGAAGGGAAAGAACAAAAGGACTAGGCTCCTGATAAGCAGCTGCTGTAATCATGCATGCCAAAAACGCGCACTGGGGTGTTTTCTGTAGGATCCCCTTTGTGGAGAAAGAAGACAGAGGGAGGAGGTGTTTGGAAGATGACTGTTCTCAATTCATGGCTGAGGACTGCAGGAAAGGGAGATGGATACACCTGCACGGCCCAGGTGGGTGTGAAAAACAGGGCAGTAGTGTTACAGCTCTCAGAGCAGATCTGTGTTAAACATGGCTGTTCAACATAGCTGTGCCCAACCCAGGGGTGGGGACAGGAGGACACCAATGCTCAAGAAGTGACAGGGGTCGTGGCCAGTCAGGAAAGCAGAGTCCTGAGCTGCCCGCCCCTCACAGGAGCCGTCCCCAGGGAAGGCATTGCCCACTCCGGGGTTTTTGCAGCAAAGTCGTATCCCTTCTCAAGTCTCAGGCACACAGCTGTGGCCTGTGTCACTCCCTTGCAACACCCCACAGAGGGGAGATGAGTTTAGTGCTTCACATTTCAGTGGTACACTCTGTTCGTATCTCTGTACTCCATGCATGGGGCTCTGTATGCCCATTGCAGAGTTGCAGGAGTGGATTCCTTAAATCCATGCAGCTGCTGCAGCTCCCCCAGGAGGAGCCCCCCAAGCTCTGGGCAGCCTGTGCCAGGGCTCTGGCACCCCTGGGCCCAGCAGTGCTGCCTGAGGGGCAGGGGGAGCCGCCAGGGCTCCGGGCTGGGCCCACGACCTCCAGGCCCGGCCCTGGGCACTGCTGAGCAGAGCCTGGCTCCGGCCTCTCCGCACCTCCCTGCGGGGCTTGGTGGACATGGACGGGATCCCCCTGCCCTCCTTGTCCCCAGGCCGAGCAGCCCCAGCTCTCTTGGCCTCTCCTCACACCTCAGATACACCAGTCCCTACCCCACAAGGTCTACATTCTCCCCCCAAAAATATTTATTAATAATGAATTTATCATCACATAGTTTCCTACAGAATATGAATTAAGTCTGTGTGGCCACACAGTCTGTCATCTCCCCCACCAAACTCTGAACCAGCAGATCACACACAACCAGCTTTGAAAGCGAGGAGAGAGGTGTTAAAGCTGCGCAGCCTGCACAGGTGTCATGAAAATGGGGGAGAGAAGCAGGCCCACATGGTGCTGTGCTGTGGGAAATGCTTCAGGCCTACATAAGCCCTAACAATAAGGACACATGTCCTTAAAGAATTTGTCTCTTTTCATTTGGCATTTCTCTGCTAGCTGTTTGAACACAGTCATTGCAGGAGGAATAACTCACAGCTTTGCAGAGTGAGTCCTCCTTCCCCTTAGCATTAGAAGATTTTTTTTTTCCTGGTGTTTCCCCAGCATCCCCTAGAAAACAGTGGGTAAAACCATGAGGTTTTTGAGGCTCAATCTTTCTGCTGCAAGTCCTAGCAGGACAGCCTGATGTGCAGGCAGGGAGGATCTGTCCGCTAGGAGGAACTGAATCCTTCAGATCACCTTGTGCTAATTCTTGTGTCCTCGGATGACATGGGCTTTAGGCCTGTAATCTTCATGGGCTTGGCTGGAGCCCACACTCCTTGAGAAACAGGGCAACCAGCAGTCCTGGTCCCAAAAGCTGTGTGCTCACAGGGCCAGCACAGACCTGCTGCAGCTCACACTCCCAACCCAACATCCAGGTTCCACGGTAACATCTGAGACCCAGGAGTGGGTGATCCCTCCTCCACAGCCCTATATTGGAACAACACTTTCTCCCATGTCCAGTGCACACCTCTTCCTTACCATTCACCTTACCCTTTCTCTTTAGGAGCTGGACTCGATGATCCTTGTGGGTCCCTTCCAACTCAGGATATTCTATGATTTGAGATAGTCCATGAGTCCTCCCTGCAAAGCACCATCCTGTACAGTAGAGAGAAGAGAAACTGAGGCAGCAATCCCCAACATGTCCACCCAGCAGGAGTCAACAGAGGGGCTAGGAGCAAATTTCCAAAGTCCCCTGTTTCAGAACAAATCGGCACACGCTAGGCCTAATTCTATTTTAATGTTTAGCCTACTATTTAAATAAATAAAATAAATGAAAAAAATAAGAACAACAAAAAACCTGTACTGGAGGAAGAGGCTTAAAACCAGATTTGCCAAATCCAAACTGGGGGGTGGAGGGGAGGGTAGAAATAGGGGGTTGTTTGTTTTGTTTTGTTTTGTTTTTTCTCGCTGTGAACTTGTCTCAGAGTAACCAAGAAAGTATTGAGAAAAATCCACAATTGCTTCAGAAAAATGAAAATAAAAGAAAAGCAGTAGTTCGGGATATTTTCTGATTCCAATATGCAAGCTTTTGAGAAAAATCTCTCCCTCGTTCTTTCCCTAACGAGGAATCCTACAGCTTAGAAAAGAAAGACATTTGGTCAAATCTTGTTTTAAAGAAAAAAAAAGAAAAAAAGAAAAGAAAACACATAAAAGTGTCTTTATCAATGAACTACTAACAAGCAGAAAATGAGCAGAATGAGCCTTTCTCACCAAGTCTAACGAACACCTCAGATTGTAGAGCTGGTTCCACATTCAGTTGTCTGAAGAAAATAAGACTGAGGAAAGAAAAGATTAGTGTCAGGCTAGAAGTATTAGATGATTAGCATTGTTTTAGGAAGCAATCTGAGATGTCATCTGGAGATATGCTACCGATCCATCTGGGGGGAAAAGGAAAGAAGACAGAGGAGAGGGAGGGAAAAAAAAAACAACCCAACAACCCTGTTTTGTTTCTCATTACTGCTCTAATTCTGGTGTAATTGAAAACGGACTGAATGTGTTTAGGAACATGTAGGACATCTGTTTCTCATTGGAAGAGCTCCGCTTTTTCGAGTGGCGCCTTCCATCTTCATCACAGTCCAAAGATTCCCACATCACGACTTGTCCTCTTTCTTTCTCTCCTTTTTTTTTTTTTTCCTTTCCAGAAAATGGGAGGTTGAACTTTCGACTCCATGTAAAACAGTTGGAGAGAAACCATGATAAGTCCCTGGGGACCCATTGAGCCTTTCTTCCCATTATCCTACTTGATTCTTTGCAGCTTCTCAGTTCTTTAAATACAGCCTTGAGCTATTTAATGCTGGTGGCATGAAGAAAAAGGGGAAGGGACAAGAGGAGGGGGAAGAAAAGAAGAAAATGGAAGAACAATTTGTAAGGTCAGACATCAAAACAGAGAAACAAAGACAACAACACTGAAAGCTGTCCTTAAGCTGGGCCAGGACATCATGCTTTGCCAAAGGGGATAGATCTACACAAACACTGGTTCATGCAGTTCTGGCTCTCCTATGTGTGGAGGAAGGAGTCTAAGATCCAAGAAGATTTGCTTGTGGGTTAAACCAAAGGGCAATATCCTAATTCTCCTCCTGGACCCACACACTAAGTCTCCAGTGTTCATTTTGGTTTGGATGACTACAAAACTGTCTCTCATAGGAAATTCTGGAGGCCCCATTGCTTAGGGAGAGATTAGAAGTTGAGGAAACAATAAAGAGCTTGTGGGAAAAATCACTACCTTGGCAGGGAAACAGGCTGCATGGTCTGATAACTCATAATACTCCACCATTTGGAGAAGGTCTGCTTGTAGTGAGAGGGACCAGAGCATGACCGCAAGCTAGAAATGGGCCTTGATTTCATGAACAGCTCCATTCTGCTTTAATAACACTTTCCATCAACACGGTTAATTCACGACCATCGGCCCATGAGACAATGACTGCTCTTCCCCTGCTACGCCAGCCTCACAACCATCGCCTCCAGACAACAAAGGGGAAAAAGGATGTCTTTGGCTGTGGTGCATGAAGAAACACAACCGCAGTGAGATGTAGGAAGGACCTTGGGAACGCCAGACAGAAACACCACTGAGGAGAGCCCTTCTTATGCCCCTAGGTCATGAGTAACTCTGGGCCTGCAGGAGAACTTTGCAAATGAATAAAACAACCAATGTGGTCTCTGCCTGGCCAGTGCTCACCATGAAATCAGCAGGTCTGATTCTCTTGGGCTGCCACACTATGCCCTTCTGAGAGAGCAAATGAGCCTCAGCATGGTCATTAATTATATTTTCTCCTGTTGCAAAGTCTACTCAGGTGGCCAAAGTGAAAAAAAAAATCCTCTTTGGAAAACAAAGGCAGACTTCACTTTTGATTTTAGTTGGACTCAGGATTTAGTCTTTATAGCCAAGTAGCTATGACTGGAATATGTCCTGCCCGAGGTGACTGAAGCAGAATTTATAAGAAGTCAAATGCTAATGAAATTACATCAGGAAAGGAATGATCTCTTCCTGAAAAGGAGATGCAGAAAGCCATCAAGCTGCATCAGAAAATGCTGATGAAGGCATCTTACTGTCAATGAATGCCATTTCATTGAGTCTAGTGTTTTGTTGGAATTTTTAATAGGAAATCTTAAGAGAGTGTTTTTTGTTTTTGTTTTTGACTGGAAAGTATTAAACGATTTCATTTTGATAATATTTCAGTCACCCCATCTCAAATTTATTATCCATAACATTTTGGCATATGTTAATATGCTCTGCTTACATATATGTTTTACACTTTTGCAAGCTGGATATTAAAACTGTTTTGACTTTATCAAATCAAATGTACTGACTTCTTGAAGCAAAATGTTCCTGTATCATCAAAACTGTACATTTTAATTATTTGGATTTTTCTTTTCTAATCTGTCTGGACAGAAGACTTTGGTTGATTATTTTCTCCATTTAGTTTGAATAATGTTTGAAATTTCAGAATTTTCCCAGAAATAAGGACATCAGAACATTTTTTTGCAATCAGCTTTAGAAAGCTGATTTTGTCACTGAATTATAGTTATATATATATATATGAACAGCATATATTTTTATAACCGCATATATAAATACAGTTACACTATACACCTTCAGAGGAAGTTCAGATGGAATTAGTTCACTAGGGGAAAAAGTTCCCTGGCCAGAAAAAGTATTGAGTGCTCTGAAAAAGATCAGGTCATGTTTAAAAAAAAATGAGAAAATAAAAAAATCTGAGGTTCTTTGAGTCTTGGTCATTTAATCATCATAAACTCCCAGACACTCAAAATCTCTCACTTCGTAGTCTGGACTTTTAGCTGTAGGTAGAACATGTATTTCTCTTAGGAGGGTCCCAGTTCAATGCACAGTATCCTGCAATGTGATGGCCCTTACACTTACAAGCATTCAAGAAAAAGTTAAAACCCAAAAAAGCTTCTGAATTCATTAATTGCTATGTTGGCCAAGGTGGTCAACCATTACACATACGATAATGCTCATATGGATTAGTACTTCATGTGAAAAATAAAGACAGGCATGACAGAGCTACACAAGAAAGAGACATCAAACATAGGAAAAGTTGTATTTAAAGAAGCTGGGAACGGGCCAAAAAAGAAAATAAAGACATTCATACATGGAAAAGTATTCATTACTAGGAATCTTTCCAGAGTAGGTGGAAAAGGAGCTTTAACCACTTCCTTAGTACAGGGCATCAAGCTTCTATTGTATGCAAAAATAGATGTTATTATTTATCACTGATATTAGAGCCAAGGAAGCCTAGGGTGGGACAGACTAAAAAGTTCAAGGGAATCTCTACATTAAAAGCCTTCACCTGTAAGTTCATGAGATAGGTGAGCACAACACCAAGATTAAACAGCATATTTTAACTTGTTTGCCAAAATATGATCAGAGTATAATCACAGTGGCAAAAACAAAAGAATATAAAAAAATAGATTCCAAAAAAAAAAAAAAGAAAAAAAAAAAAAGATCCTAAGGATCCTTCATATGGATAACATTAAATATATTACCAGCTGAAGACGAATTTTAGAAAGTAAGCTGAAGTGTGCCTGTTGCCTGTTTGATCTTATGCAGGTCTAGGTATTACCTATGCATGGCATGAGGACATTTCCTTCCTGAGGCTATCCCAAAGGTGGCTTAACAAGTGGTGGGGTACTGTGAAAGGAACCAGCTTCTCGATGCCATCCTAATTTGTAAGCTGAGCTCATCCTAGCGTTGCTCTGTTAGAAATCAGTTCTGCTGCAAAAGAAAAAGCAGTCAAATTTTAAAAGTAGTTAGTTAAATTAGTTAGTTGTAGCCAAAGCTCAGTTCATCACCTTTTAATATGATCCCCATCCCACTTTACATTTTTCCTCTCATTTAGGTATACATTTGCATTATTCTGCCTCCCATTAGCATCACATTATTAAAGTTTGTGAAGAAAAATAGCTTGGCTTAACTTGGCTTAGCTTGGCTTGGCTTGTTTCCTTTTCTCTTGGAAAATGTTTATTTCTGTACAAATTTCTGACTGAATTTTTGGAAGAAACCTGAAAGTGATGGATGAGCAATTTCCTAAAGGTAATTTTATATTGTAAGACCCATGAATGCTAATCACGAGCAAACCCAAATCATGAGGCACTCAGAAGAAAGAGGATGTAACCAGGGCTGGTAACAGATGCCGTGTGGAGGTGGAAGTTGCACAGAGGTTCCACCTCTCTTCCTGACATGACTTAAAAGCTTGAAATGACTTAGAAGACCCTTTTAGGTCTTCTCATTGCTATTGCTACGGCCCCTGGCATCCAAACATGAATAAGATGTCCCAGCTTCTCTAGATTTAGCTCAACAGTCACACCATAGCCTTCAAAGTGCAGTTACCAATGTGCCAATGAGAAATTGGCACAAGAACTTTCCCAAGCAGAGCCAGGGGTGCTACAAGTGGTGGCCCTGGGTTATTTCAGGGGCAAATACTACTTGACACAGCACCCATCTACTTTCTGTCATGAGTTAAAATGGCTTTACATGCTCCTGAAGTAAAGAAGCCATTGCTTATTTATATCTCAAATTAGTGATATAATACCAGTTCTTCCAGTCTTTCTCAACAGAGCTGCTTGAATAAATACAGTGTAAAAGAAAACCTGTCCAGACACCAGCAAGGACCAGAAAGAAGGATGGGCCAGGAGGTAGCAGGGCTCACTGGGGAGATGCATATACTTTTCCATAGGGCAAGGCAGGAGACTGAAAGCAGTGATTTTCTTCTCTGCATTTTTCCCCAGACCGGAGCAATAATTTCAGGGATGTACCTATTAGCACTGGACATCTTCAGTCATGGAGGTTGTCTTTAGCCATCATTTTATGGTGCAAGAAAAGGTACTGATGAAGAAGCAAGAAGAGACTGATGCTCACATATTCCCCCTTTTCCCAGGAACTTCTACTGTTTTCATTTGGAACCAGAACAAAACCAACTACTTTTGAAACTGCCTAGATGAGGGAATTTTCACTCCAAAAACATAGTTCAAGAAATTCTTTGGTTATTTTATGGGGGTTTAATAGTATTTTATTATATTTATATTATCTCTTCCTATGTTATGGCAGGTACTCCTGGCATGCCATAATGACCTAAAATTGTTTAAATATTCTATTTTTATTTTCTTTTCAAAATCATTATGAGCAGCTGCTACTTAGCAGTGAGAGAAATACCTTATCTTCCCTTCCAGATCAAAGTATCTCCTGTTTGTATTGTAATTAAGGTGTTTCATTACTTATTAATTACAACACAAACAGGAGACACTTTGATCTAGAAAGAAAGATAAGATATTTCAGCTAGTGCTAAACAGCATTTGCCCTAAATGATTTGAAAAGGCACACAATAGAAAATAAGAGAATACTTCCACGACTGTATTATGACATACTGATAGT